ATGTATGTATGTTGTATGTATGTATGTATTATGTATGTATGATGTATGTATGTATGTATGTATGTTGTATGTATGTATGTATGTATGTATGTATGTATGTATGTATGTATGTATGTATGTATTGTGTATGTATGTATGTGTATGTATGTATGTATGTATGTATGTATGTATGTATGTATGTATGTATGTATGTATGTATGTATGTATGTATGTATGTATGTATGTATGTATGTATGTATGTATGTATGTGTATGTATGTATGTATGTATGTATGTATGTATGTATGTATGTATGTATGTATGTATGTATGTATGTATGTATGTATGTATGTATGTATGTAGTAGTATGTATGTATGTATGTATGTATGTAGTATGTATGTATGTATGTATGTATGTATGTATGTATGTATGTATGTATGTATGTATGTATGTATGTATGTATGTATGTATGTATGTATGTATGTATGTATGTATGTATGTATGTATGTATGTATGTATGTATGTATGTATGTATGTATGTATGTATGTATGTATGTATGTATGTATGTATGTAGTATGTATGTATGTATGTATGTATGTATGTAGTATGTATGTATGTATGTAGGTATGTATGTATGTATGTATGTATGTATGTATGTATGTATGTATGTACGTATGTATGTATGTAGTATGTACGTATGTACGTATGTACGTATGTAGTATGTACGTAGTACGTATGTACGTATGTACGTATGTACGTAGTAGTATGTAAGTATGTACGTATGTACGTATGTACGTATGTACGTATGTACGTATGTACGTATGTACGTATGTACGTATGTACGTATGTACGTATGTACGTATGTACGTATGTACGTATGTACGTACGTACGTATGTACGTATGTATGTACGTACGTATGTACGTATGTACGTACGTATGTATGTATGTATGTATGTATGTATGTATGTATGTATGTATATATGTATGTATATATATGTACGTACGTATGTACGTATGTATGTATGTATTTGAGATTTATAAAAATACAGTGATAAGATTGGTGATGGTTGATAATGAGGTTTGGAATGAGAGATTATAGGATTTGGGATTTTAGAAAAAGTTTGGGTTTTTTTTCTTCTGAAAAATAATTAATTTTCTTAAAAAAAATAAAAATAATATGTGTCAAGTAACTATATTTTCATAAAGATCGTTATGACTTAGGTACTTAAAAGAATAACGACACAAACGGGTCAATGTATGAGATTTGTAACTGGTCTGGTGTACTTAATTGGGTATTGATAATTTGGGTTTTAGTTGGTTAGAAGGGTATTGGGTTAAACAAGTTCAGGTATTGTAATTTGGTTTTGGGTCGGTTTCGGTATAATGGATTGGTTGGCTGGGTAGAGTTATTGGATTCGGTTTAGGGGCTGATTTAATTCAATCGGTTTAGTTTTGTAATAATGGAACACGTCAAAAAGTATTAATATTTATTTACAGGTTTAGGGTCATTTTTACCTCTGTAGTAGATTCAATTTATCATTTTCGTCATTATCGTATTTTTTGCATCAATTTAGCCCTTAAAGTTGTTTAATTGTATTATTTTATACCATACCCCTAACTTAAAACCCTACATTAATAACCCTAAACCATAGCCATGTAACCTCTAAACCATAGCCTTGTAACCTCTAAACCATGAAACCTAAATCTTAATCTCTAACTTAAAACCCTCAGTTTAGGATTTTAAGTGAGAGATATGGTATAGAATGAAGCAATTGAGCAATTTCAATGGCTAAATTGATTTAATTGATACGAAAATACAATAAAGATTACAATAATAAATTGAGTCTATTACATTTACAGGGAAAAAATGATACTTTTACATTATTTATAATTAAGTATATATATATATATAATCTAATTAATAAATCAAAACTATTTATAATAAATATATATTTAATTAATATTAATAAAAAACTAAAGTAATTCAAATAAAATTAATATTCATGGAGTGATCTCATTAAAATTCAGATGAAAATGAATGTTTACAAAAAATATAATTAAAAAATTTACTAGATTAATTTTTTTATTAGTTTAAAGTGTTTACAAGATATTATTTATTCGAAAGACGCTCAACTGTTTGACAATGAACATTCAAACAGTCATGCATATGTCGTGTTCGAACTCGAAATCTCTAAAAATAAAAATAAATCTTTAAACATTGAGATCACTTGTTTAATATAATTAAAATAAATTAAAATATTAAAATTTGAATTTAACTCATATTTTAGAATAAACCTAATTTTTTTATTCGAAATTTTGAGCGGGACTCGGGACTTAGGTAGGTAACTCAGCCCTGAACATATCTTAAGATAAACGGTTACATGAATGACATAAAAAATTAATTTGTATTACTTCCATAAGTGGTCTTTATAATGATTGAATCACCATTTACTTTTTAACCTTAAATAGTTAAATATTTATATTAAAATATTATAGTTAATATTTTATTATTAAAGTATATATGGTAAGTTAAAAATAAAAAATGGGAAAAATCGAGGAAAAAGAAGTGGTAAGTTACGTAATTAATTTAGGCCGGGGAATCCAGCGCAAAAAATCCAACGGAATTCATATATACTATTCGGACAACAAGCACACGCTTCTTTGCTTTTGTATCCTTGATATATGATTAATTTCCGTGTTAACCCTTAACTAATGGATATTAGTCCTTAAATCCAATGCTTTTTAACATTTTCTTTTAAGTCCGCCATTATAATTCATTAGCAAAACCCATATTTATAAATAAAAAACTATGCTTTGTGAATTTTATTGGGTTTTTTTTAATATTTTAAATGGAAAAAACAAATGTTAATATTATTATTATGTTTTCTTCTTTGATAGAACAATGGTTAAAATTATATATATATATATATATATATAATTATGATCTTCTAAATGTATAAAAATGAACAAATAAAAATGGAAAATCGATCACTTAAAGATATCTTGTTTGATCGTGAGGCAATTAATATCTATTATGTATTTTCTCAATTCTCGATGTTTAAATCAGTAAAGATCTAAAATAAAAAATACGCGCTCATGAAAGAAAGTGAGATAAGTGAGACGACACGCGCGACATGCATTTTCATGTAAAGTACGTAAAATCATCGCGCTTCATTTCAAAAGAATAGTAGTTCTAAATGATTTTTTTAAATCATGGTTTTTTATCTAAATGAAAATATGCTCAATTAATTTATAAGATACACATGTGTGTAAAGGGAAATTTTGAAAAGAATTTTAAAAACCCGAGGGACTAATGTAAAAGAAAGAGTAAATTAGAGGCGAAATGGCGAAATCCTAGAATTTTACCAAACCTCAATTGTCTATATATTTGAGAAAGGGAGAACGTTCAAAATGAACAAGTAAAACGCTAGAGCAACTGCTTTGCAGTTTAGCGCAGCCATGAGGTATGAGAAGGTCGAGCTGATCAGCCCCGAGTCAAGCAAGGTGAAAGCACCACTGCCTATGGAAACACCATCACCGCCAACGGAAACACCACCGCCTACCCAAGCACCACCAGCTCCGAAGCTGTCTCCGATGTCGCAAGCCACGTTGAAGGCAGTGAAAGAACGGAACAAGAAAAGGTCTCGTAAGAAGACTCCAGGTGCCTTCGAACTTCACTACGACAACACCTATGCTCGCTATCAGTGGCTCTTGTCAGGGTGGATAGCGAGGAGCGCTTTTAATCCTTATCCTACATACATATATCCATTCATGCATGCTATCTGTATGCATAAATATGTAAGAGATGTTGATTTTATGTACAATTTCATGTTTTCATATGATTGATCCTAATATTTACTCGAGATTTTAAAATGAAATGATCTATAACAGATATATTCATATTCAAATATATATCTTAAAATTCCTAAATGATGTTGATGCAGTGCTATTATGATCCAGCCGGGATGAAGTACCGCACCAAACGTGATGTCTTGTATGCATGGGAGAAAACCAAGGATCTCATTTTCATGATTAAATCAAAGGTGAAATTATCATGGATTAATCCCAAAAAAAACCCACTCTTTTCAATTTTTATTTTTTCATATTTTTTATAAATTAATTTTATAAAAATGGGTTTATTATTATTAAATCGCAGGTTTATCTGTGAAATAGCTAAGAGTTATGAAGATGTTGAAGCACAACAAGAGTTGGATGACTGTATCTTCTATAATCGTATATCAAAAGTTGAAAATATAGTTGTTTTGTTCACTTTTACTTTGTGTTTCATACTTTGTAGTGGGAATATGGTGGAAAACTAAAAACTATTATATGAATAATGAAATAAGACCTTTGAGCTTTGAACTAAGTGTTTCTTTAGAAACATCTCTATTAGGCTTTTATTTACTCTTATAATTAATTTTTAATCAATCATGCTCAATTATCATATAATTAATTATGATAATTGAGCATGATGATTAAGTTCCCTTATTAATACTTAAAATATCCCACCCTTCGATTATGAAGAGCTTCTAGTTTGATTATAGACTTGTTAATGAAATCTTATTCATACTATATTGATTGTTGGTCATTGTGATGATATAGTAATTAATGATAAATTGTAATTTTATCATGTGAAAATATAATTTATAAACGATATATTAATGTGATCATATATAACAATCATATGTTACATAATTTGCGTGACATGAGTACTTTTGAATATTAGCTTCATCTAATGAAGTTATTGAAGCTTACAACTGGAGGTGCAGTTGTTTCTTTTCTTTTCATTCGAAAAAATAAAATAAAATTGATGTTGGTTTTTTTTATCGGTCATTTATATTTGAAGTCAAAGTAAAAATAATAATAAATAAATAAAGCACGTGGAAATAAATAACATAGTACTTGGAGAGCTAGAACTTCTGATCTAAATCTCCAAACAAAATCTTTGTCGTCTCCTCCGCCTCTGTTTCGAAATATCCTTTCAGGTAATCATTTCCAATTCCAAAATTGGAACCCTTTATTTTCCAGATTTGGGTCTTTGTTTTTCTAGCTTTTTATTTTGTAAAATTTATTTCTTTTATTGTACAAATTTAATTTTAACAGCGTGTAGTTGTTCAACCCAGTCAATGCTTGTATACAACTTTATGTTGTTTAGTTTTCTCATAAACCAAACAGAAAGTCTGGGTTTTTTTTTTTAAATATAGAATTTGATTTTTTTTTCTGGGTATTTTTTGAGTAAATAAAGACTATCGTTTTTATGGTTTCTTATGAAGTTTGTGGACATTTCTTTTTGAAGGGTCTTTTTGTGATGAGGAGGTACAGTCCTCAATACTATAGTCCTCCAAGAAGAGGCTATGGCGGCCGAGAAAGGAGTCCTCCGAGGAGGGGATATGGCGGCGGCGGTGGAGGTGGTAGAAGGAGGGAGCTGAATAATGGAAGCCTCTTAGTTAGAAACATTCCTTTGGATTGCAGGTAAAATCATTCATCATAATAAACCCCCTTTTGTTTCTAAATTGTTGGTTAAATGGATTGTTTGATTACTGTTTGCAGACCCGAAGAACTCCGAATTCCGTTCGAGAGGTTCGGACTTGTTCGAGATGTGTATATTCCGAAAGATTTCCATACAGGGTTTGTAATTGCACCTCTGAAGTAATTTGTTTTAATCCTGCATCATTTCTTTGCAATGGTTCTAAATGGAAGTTCATTCATTTCAGTATATGATTGTTTAAGGCGTTGTAGGTTACGTTCAGCTTAGTTTTATTCGGATTAAGCACGAGCTTCATTTACTTTATTTGAATCCTGAGATTTTGGTTCTGAAAATTTTGATATTTCAACTCCTTGCCACAATCGGTGTAACATTCATTCTTTGTATTTTATGTTTGTTTAAGGCATCTTTGGGTTTCCTTCGTTTCAGTTTTATCCGGATTATGTAAGAGTTTTGTTCGTCACATGATATGATCATATGGAAGTGCTTACTTTTTATATAGGATGAGAGATTTCATAAACCTACCACAAACCGAATCGTCTTCTTCTTCAACCATTACTGATCATTGCACAGAAAGCTTTTAGGATCGGAAAATAGGGGTTTAAACTGATGGTTTTACGAAGTTCACAGTTTTTTGTATTGGAATCATGGATCTTTAGTCATCGTATGCTTCCTTTGAATTGCTTTTAGTGCCATTTCGTAAGCCTGCCATAATTCGATCGTCTTGTTCCCCAAAGCTAGCATAGGCTATCAACTGCTTTGTTTTAAGTATTCGCCTCTACAATCTTTAGTCATTTTATGTCGGTACATGTAAATGAAGTTGATTCCTTCGAATTGCTTTTCTTGCTGTTTCTTAAGACACTTTTTTACCCATTTTTCTGGAGTGAATTCAATTTTGAACTGGTTTATCAGGTGGTAATTGGTTTGAAGTAAAAAACAAGCCAAAGCCCCGGATTTGATGAATCCGAGGATTTTAATGGTAATGATCATACGAAGAATGTTCCTTTATGAAGCGAAACTATATAATTACACCATCAAATAGAGGTTTAATGAGGAAGAAGATTGGTATCCGAGACCCGACCAATTGAAGGCTACTCGAAGAGAGATTTAGTTTGAGGAAAATTGTCAATATCGAGTGCTTCTTATATTTACAAGCATGTGAAGATTTTTCGATTCACTCCTTTTGAAGTCGCCTTTGGTATTGAATATTAAGGGAAAAGGTCCGCCACTATGCCCGTTCTTATGTAAATTCCGACCATGTATGTTGTCGTCGTGATTCGGAACCGTATTTAGATATGTAAAGTATACAAAGTAATGTCATTGTAGTGGTGAGGCGGTATTCTAGTTTCAACATCCCGGTCTCTTCTTTTCGTTAACTTGAGTGCTTAAGTTAAGGCTCGTTGTATACTTTCCACAGGACTCCGCGAGGGTTTGCGTTTGTGCAGTTTGTGGATCCTTATGATGCTGCTGAAGCTCAATGGCGCATGAATGGTAAGATATTTGGTGGGAGAGAGATATCCGTCGTCTTTGCTGCGGAGAATAGGAAAAGGCCCGAGGAGATGCAGCATAAAGAAAGGCTAAGGTAATCCCTCTCTCACACATTTTGTTTCATGTTATTTTACTGATATTTCCTTCGAGATTAATACGGCATGTGATTCTTCAGAGGACCTTCGGGATATGGGGGACGATCATCTTATTATGGTATGTTATTCCGTTCTTAATAATATAATGTCTTGTCCTATGGTTAGTAGCAACCGTGATGCTCTTCCCGGTCTCGTTCATATCTGCCATCATATCCTTGGATGTGTTGGCAAATAATTGATGGGTTCTAGAGGCCGTTACCGTTCAAGGTAAGCTGTCAAATTGCCATCATATCCTTGGAGTGTTGGCAAATAATGATGGTAGATATCGGTTTGTCAGGTCATATTCCCTGTTCAAGGCGGCAAGGAAACTATTCAGTTTCACCAGATAGAAGGCATGAAGGCCATCCAAGATCTCCGAGAGGTCCTCCGCAAGATCGTGGTGGTGACTACGGTCACAGATTGTATTCTCCTGGGTATGAAAATGCTGGTGGGAATGGGTACGGCGAGTAAGTCACATTCTATCTCATCATTTCAACTTCCATAGTTCCGCAGTTTCGATATTTACCGCTTTGACCACAGTAACATTCGTTATGTCAACGACTGAGATAAACACAATGTGACCAAAAACACATCCAAGACCTCGGCTTAAATTCCTTTCCGAACACTAATCGATTCTATCTTTTGACCACTTGCAGGAAGGCTGCATATGAGTCAGAGGAAGCACCATGGGCTGCACGGATGCCATCGCCGCCTGAGTCTCGGTCTAGGTCGGCCGACCCGTCACCAAGGCGTAGCTGATAAAGCAGTCAATGGACCTTCTGATTTTAACACAAGTATTTAAGGGGTTTGTGTTATTTTCCTTAATAACAAAGAGCTTTTAACGGATAAGAGTTTGCAGATATTGAAATTATAACCTCATAAAGGTTGCTTTGTTAAAGTTACAATTAGATTTTAATCAAATTAGTTTAGAGATTGAATTTTATTATTTGTAACATTTCTCTTAGCTTTTTATTTTTATAAAAATGGTCCAATTTCAAGAATACTCAATTTAGTTGCATTTTTATAATTTATTTTTCACAATATTAAAAACTAGGAAATTGAATAACAATTCCATTTTCTTATTTAAATTCAATTCTACTCGGATTGTAATCGAGTAGACCGATAGGTAAATGAGACTTTAACTTCTTAATTTATATTATCATGTGATGGAGGTGCTGGACAACATGTTAGAAATCTTAACTTGGTTGGACAACAGTAAATAATAAGTCGTCTTACCTCAGTAAATAGAGTGCATAATTTTTTATGATTAAAGTACTGAACATAATCATTTTTAAATTGAACTTTATGCACAAACCATTTATAAATTCAAGAATAAATTTGTACATTGCCAATGACCGTAAATATACAATTTATGAAAAATAAAAATCATTATGATTATTTTCAATAGTGTTTAAATTTATTGATGATTTGCCAACGAAATTACCTAATATAGTATTTTATAATTGAAAGTTATGCACTATCAAATCCATTAAATATTAATTTATTCAGATATATTTTATTCAAAGTTACCTAATATTCTCTAAAAGAAAGATTACATATTATTTGTAGCTACGTAATCACCTAATTTTCCATTTTAAAATGAAAGGAAAATAAAAACGCAACAAATTTTGACAATATAACAATGGTTTCCCTTTAGTTTATTGTCATATATAATTATTAAGAAACCATGATATCAAGCCGTCTTAGCTCAGCCGGCAGAGCGCGTGGCTTTTAACCACGTGGTCGTGGGTTCGATTCCCACAGACGGCGTTTGGCATGTGTTTCCTTTTTCTCACTTTTTGTTCTCTCTCATGGAGATAATTTTTCGGTTTAATCAACCGCCAAACGGACAATTAGATTTAAATTATTTTTATTTTCTGTGGTTTTTAAGTTTATTGATGTTTTGTTAACAAGATTGACTAATGTAGAAGTTTATAACTAAAAATCACCTAATATTCCCTTGTAAAAAAGGATTACCTATTTTATTCCTAGCTATGTATCAACTAAATCAATCAATCTATTTTTTCCTTTTAAAATAAATAAATTATACTTAAACAACTAACCGAATAACAAATAATTAAAATATAAGTCATTGACTGAGAAAAGAGTATTTGAATTATTATTATTATTATTACATGAAAAAAATTCAAGTTAATCAATTTGAAAAATATGTTTAAATTTAATTATAAATATTTATAATTTTATGTTACTAATTGATTCTAATTTAAATAATTTTTAATAATCATATACGATATACATTTTTTCATAAATTTTTTATATATGATATACATATATTATACAGAGTTGAGGGTCTCAACTCCAACTTAAAAATCAACCAACTAATTACTAAAAATTTAGAGTTATATGAATTCTATTTTATAATTCAAATTTTATTTGCTTTTTTTAATTAAGTTTACGACGTTTGAGTTGAATCAATTTTTTTTAATATTGAATCAAATAAAAAATGATTTTTCAATAGAGTTAAAATTTATTCAATCCTTATTATTATTATTATTTAAGGTTTTTTTAATCAATATGAGATCAAAGCCGTAACTTAAAGACAAACTCTAAATACAATAAGAAGAATTACTATTGTCATGAGCGATTAAGGTCTAAGGATTGAAGTTCTTCCGGAATATTCAATTATATATGTTTTTTCAAACTTAACTCTTAAATGCTTAAAATAATCCTTGTTATTTCTAAAAGTAATAGACTCGAACATCAACAACTGTAAGAATGATTGAGTATTCATTGTCAAATAAATATATTATTTTGTAATTAACTTTAATTTAATAATTAAAAACCCTCAAATTAAAATTCATTATCATACTCAACCTGAACCGGACCAAACAGACCATTCGCTCCACAGACCGTTGTAAACCGAACTGGCCCACTTAAACGAGTTATATATATATATATATATATATATATTATAGGATATAGCCAATCCATGAATGTGTATACTGTTCATGGACTTCACGTCTGGGGTTTTTATAATAACTTTCCTGTTTTCCTCGCAATTAAATAAATTCATGTGATGGCCATGCACTTTCAAATCCACTGCCAACGACTCACCGCTCCCCAATCACAACACCACCGCTTCTTCCACCGCAGAACGCCTCACATTTTCCCTCCAAAATTTTTGCTACCATTAATACCTTCCCAAATTCTCTCTCTTTCTATATAGGCTTCTAAAATTTATTGTTGCTGAATGTGAGAGCTGAGAAAATCTGGGTTTTTTCCAAGACGATGAAATTCGAAGATTTTTGATGGAAAGAAGCGAGGAATCGAGGAAGAAGATCGAACTTCAAGAAGAGGTAAGATTTGAGCTCCATTAATGCTTTATTTTAGAAGAAATTAATGGAGTTTTCTTTGACGATTCAGTGTTTGTTCGACAGGTCGATAAGTTGCAAGCGGAATTTGATGAAGAGAAAGAAGTCACAAGGTTTTGCGCCGGGCGCTAGAGGGTTCGCCGCTGTTACTAACTCGGCAGCCGCCACTGCTTCCGTCGTTGCTTCCGCCTCAAGTAAGCGCTTATAATAATTTTAGATTTGAACGTAATCAGGACTTGAAACCTGAATTAGACATTTGTATATATATGATAGAATAGTAACTGAGTTTGAAAGAATGTACACATATTCTTTGTTTGTCTTTAAGTTTGCTCAGTTTATGTCTGTTAAAAAAATTTAAAATTCTGTTTGTGTTATTTATTTAAAATTCAATCTCACAATAAATTTTATAATATTTTATTCGGATTAATCAATAGATAATAACTCAGTTCTTTTAGGTTCAAGCACTCCTTGCTGAACTAACAACAGTTGAGGAAGAGATTGTTTGGCTAGAGAGAAAAATCGACGACCTGAAAATGAAATTGTACCAAGAGAAGAAAATAACCCAAGAATGGAAAATCCGGCAACAACGGAACCGATTCATATGCGGACCTGCCATCGATGTCGACGACGATCTAAAACACGAACGAGATCGCAAAATTACGAAGTTTTCAGAAAAGGGAAGCTAAAAAGACATGGAAGAGCTTCCATAGGTTCTGCAACTGATATCCTAAGCTTGTCTTCCTCACACTGCACTGGTAAGCTTTCCTTGATTTGTATTTTCCAGAAATTTCTTTCAATAATTTAATACAATGATTATACAAAGATTATAAATAAAATTACACATATACTTTCATCAAATATGTAATGCTATATTCGTGATCATAATTTAAATCTCGAATTAAAAAGTTTTTGATGTTCTTGAGCAGGAGAATTTCATCAAGGATCAAAGAAATTGCAAGCATTTAGAATCCAAAACAAAGCCCAATCAACAGGGATATCACCACTGAGAAACCGAACGAACTCTCGGAAGAGCTTGTGAGACGCTTGATAGGCATATTCCTTGAATTAAACCAAGGATCCTCCCAAGACAAAGAAGGATCCGCCATTGTTGCAAAGCTTAGCTTCTCATGCATGGCTCCAAGAGGATACTCTACCAAAACCTCATTGTTTGGTTCCAATCAAAACACATCAAATATCGACCCTTATGGTATAATTCCTGAATTCGATGGAGTTTTAAGAGACATCGGAGATTACAGAACTTCATCCAAATAACTCGGAATTCAATGGATCTCGGTCGATTATCGGATTGTTTAGTGGCAATAGGAAGGTTAGGTAAGTTGTTCTGAACTTTTGAAATCAGGTTGAAGACGAGTTTCGATCAAATCCGATTCCGTTATATTTGTTAAAATAACTTCATTAATTTTCTTTCTTCGTTCTTGTTTTTTCAGGATTTTGATGCATAAACTATCTAACGTTGACCTGGCATTCTTAACCTACAAGCAAAAGCTAGCATTTTGGATCAACGTCTACAATGCTTGTATTATGCATGTACTGTAAGACATCTTTGAAACCTCAAAAATTAATTCGAAATAATATATTATCATCGAACCTTTAACTCGATTAGAACGGTTGCTTCTATAACGGATGTTTGCAGTACTCGATTCAGATTAGTAGATCAATGGATCGAATATTAATAGTTATACCAAAACAAATACTAAAGCATTAATCATAATTTCAGGCATTTCTTGAACATGGGCTACCTTCCACACAAGAGAAACTACTTGCACTTATGAACAAGGTGAAATT